CCTCCGTACCTCTGCACTTTACTTCCGCACCTCCTCTGAGTCTCAGTGTGCTTTTCTCTTTCCTTCTAGTTGTAGAATTTCCACTCAGCCAGCCTTCCTGTGGTTCTGGATGATTTCCATTCTGTCTTTTAGTTGTATTTTTGAAGTGGTTGTGCGAGGCAGCAATTTCCAGTGTTTACCTATGCCGCCATCTTCCCTATATCTCCTGACTAAATCTTTTGAACCATCTTTGAAAGAGTCACTTCTTTATTCAGTAGGTTCTCCCCACCAGCCAGGCCCCTGAGGAATGCTGTGGAGTGTGATAAGGGATTTGAGGAAGTGCATGAAACTTTACACCAAGTCCTTCCACAGCATGTCTCCTCTCCCCTCAAGAGCCAGGCTGATGGCTTCCTGTTCTCTCCAGAACTGGACCTGGGAGGACAAAGTCCCCGCAGCACCCCCATGGCCACCTCCCCGCCCAGTCCTGGTGGCGCTGCTGCCTCCATCAGCATTTCCTACATCACAGCCAGTTGTGGCCAGTAGCTGAGGCACCTGCCCGGTTCCTGATGATCTCAAGGTCCTCGCAGTCCAGGTAATCTGTCTCTTCCTGAGATGCCCACATGTCAGTGGGGAGCTGCTTCAGCTTCTGGACTGGGAACCAGTGCACAGAGGTGTTATTAAACACGTCTGAGTACTGTGACGTCTGGGGAAACGCCTGCTCCTCCAGTCCTTCTAAAACCTGAGCAGAAAATTCCAAGTCAAGCATGTAACCTTGATAGGCCTTCGTTAGCCCCCACCAGCCCCACGTATAAGGGCAGACGCCTCAGTGGTGGGGAGACACACCCGTCCCCATCCCAGCCCCCTCGGTCAGACAGATACCTTGGCAACATAGGCATAGTTTTTCTGCAGAATCCTTGTCAACAACCTATAAATAAAAAGGTTTTTAAACCAGGGGATAAAAAGAAAAACTGAAAGGTCACACTGTAAGAAGCTGAGATGGGAGTTAAACCTGGGCCTGATTTCAAAACTTACTATTCCAATAAAGCATGCTACTTGCCACCTAAAAACTTCCTTTAAAGAAAGAGGAAACTCTTCAGCTGAACTGACCCAATAACTCTCCCTGACCCTAGCAGGCTGATAGCATCCACCGAAATGTAATAGGATTCCAGATTGCTAGGCTCATATGCCAAAGCTATTGTAACACGGAACTCTCCTTACCATTCTACAGAGAGAACATGCCGCTTCATTAACTAGAAAATAGGGCTCTAGCAACCCAGGCCTGTGCTTCTGAGCTTATTCCAATCCTAACCCTGCCTATTATTTCAGTAGCCTACAAGAAATTTGACAGGGACAAGAATACATCTGCCATAATTCTAGCATTCTTTATTTACCACTATTAGTCAGGGCAAGTTGATCCTTCATTTTGGTGTAGACAGGGTGTTCTTATGAGACCACTGAGCCAATTCAAGAACATTGAATTCTGAAATACCATCCATGGCAACACCTAAAGAAACGTCCTTGAAAGAAGTCTGCTTGGCAGGTAGGGACCCTGACAAGAGGGGGTGGTATTGTTCTAATGTACCCCGCAAATCACAGAAGGACGCCTCAAGAAGTTGAATTAAAGACTCACATTTATTGCAAATCTGGGACTATGAGAGGGCATTTCACTCTCCCAAATCTCATAGTGATAAGATGGCTGCAACACCAGATTTATATAGGCAAAAATCACAAAGGTATTGATTACATCCCAGGGTTTGGAATGAGGACCCTGGTTTGCACAGAGCAGTTACAGAAGCGAGATTGAGCTGATTAGTTATCTACAAAGATTGTTTATAGTTTTGGGTCTTTGGACCTCTGAGTTGACGGAAACATTATTTAGAGCCCTCGGGTCTTGGGTCCACTGAGTTGACAGGGAACGCACCATCTGTGGCCACTAAAACAATTTAGGGTAATTGTGCTGTCCTGTTTCCCAGGTACAGAAGAATGTGCTTCGATAACCAGTAAGATCACAATCAATGGGATAGTCATTCAATCAATAAGGCATTCAATCGAATGGGATGATTTATACAATTCAGAAAATCAAAATAACCTGTCCATTGTTAAACAAAGCAAATAGGTACCATACTTCACTGTTATAAAAATTTTACTTTCTTGTTCTGGCCAGTATAGCTCAGTGGTACTTCATTCCCCACTGGTTTTATGTACATGAGTCAAATCTTGGACTCATCCTTATTAGTTAGGGGATTGTACTGCCCCCTAACTACAAGTAGTTTGACCAAATTAATTTTTCTAAACTGCCTGCTTGGCACATTTAGTTTTCTATTTACTTACCCCAGTTCTTTTAAGGGCATTTTCTATTCTGTTCCTGCTCTCCTATCCCCTAGCACATCTAGCCCCACTTGACCCTAGACTTTCTCACTGGCTAGTAAAAATGTTCTTACAGGTACCCAGTCCCCTAGTGCCATGGTCCCCATCAGTACTGTCCTTACTGAAGCCCAGTTCCACTTCTGCAGGCGTTGCGCCTCCTCCTGGCCTGCGTGGAGCCCAGGCTAGGGATCTCATGGGTGAGGCCGCTGGCTGCCGGGATCAAGGCCATTTCCTGTTGTAGGAGCTGGGAGTGGTGTAGCCAGGTCTGGATGCCATCAACCTTAGCAGCTGTGGGCATGCTTAGGGCGACAGTGTATAGTCCCTTCCAAGTTGGGGTGAGTCCTTGGGTCATGAACTTCTTTACTCACACCAGGCTGGAAAGGATATACAGGGTCCGAGGTGGGACTGGCAGGGCGTCTCGAACAAGCTTATGGGTGGCTCTCTGGGTATACTGCAGAGCCTGCAAGGACTTGAGCAAGGAATGGTTATGACTTTTAGCTTTT